AGTATGTTATGCATCGATAGCAGCAACAGCTTTTCCAGGTTCTGCAGTCATCTGAACAAAATTATAGACATTCGGCACATTCCATTAAAAAAAACAAACCAACAAAAAACAAAGAAAAGAATAATATCCAGACAACAGCCAAGTTCTGTTGCTGCTGTGGTACCTGGCACCATTTTTTCTATTAGCCTCTTAATCATCATCTGGAAAGAGAACATTCTAGAGTAATATCATTAAATGTAGCTCTGATAATTCTTTCTTATTTCTCTAGCTGCTGAATCTCTAAACCAGTTTTTTGCATTCACCTGGAGTAGACAGCAATAGACTTTTCAAATGCTCACTCTGGGCTACTTACACAGCCTCTACTGCCCCCATTTGCCATGGGACGGTGGCCTAGGACTTCAACTTGTTATCCTGCCCACTCACTGTAAAAATGTTTCGTTACATAGATTACGTCATGCTAACCTCTGATCACCTTACAAACTTAGAAAAGCACCTGGACGATATACAAGGACAACTGAAGGAGCAGGGATGGAAAATCAATCCCACAAGGTGCAGGGGCCTGGAACTGCTATAAAGTTTTGGAGGGTCTTATGGTCAAGTCATATCTGATACCTGAGAAGGTCACTGAAAAAATTCTGCAGCAGGAACAAGGAATACAAATCAATTACAGGTGTTCTTAGGACTCTTGTGTTATTGGCATATTTTCATATCCCAACTTGCTCAAGTTGCCTGCACTCTCTATAACTTAACAAACAAAAAAAGGGGAGGCCACGTGAGATTGGGACAAAAAGGATTGTTTGGTTTCTATCTAGATGTCCTCCTGGGAGCCTCATGCACTCATAAGTGGAGCTTTTGGAAGAGGCCTAGACCATGGGGAAGCTGTAGCTGACTTGCTGTTCGGAGGTCAGGCTGGGTGGGGGAGGCAGGTCACTGGGGATGTGAATTGGCAGGGCATAGCTCCCTCCCTAGTTCCTCCCTTCTCTCCTTGCTTCCTGGCTGCAGTGACATGAGCAGCTTTTCTTTGCTCAGGCTCTTCACCATGCCATTCTTGAATTTTACAAACCTCTCCTTCTTTAAGTTGCAAGTGTCAGGTATTTTGTTCCAGCACTGAAGAAAGTGAGTAAGACAGAGCTCAAGAGGCACTTGAGCAAGATGAGATAATTGTAAGGCAGACTAACCAGTTGCATGCCCCAAGCCCTTTGTCCTAGGGTTACCGTGAGCCCTGAGTGCTACAGTGCTACGGTTGAAGGCTATGGCAGAAACAATTTGAATCATAGAAAGAGGTGGAAGCCTGGTGTATAGCACGAAGCAACAGTTGCTGGCTGTATATAAATCCCTGCAGCAGGTAGAATACATCCCTGGATCTGCTTCAGGGCACCTAAAACAGGATATCTGATGAAGGGCTGGGTCAAAGGCCTTTTGGCCAAATCCCTTTCTGGGGTGGTACAAAATCAGACTTTACAAAGGGAGCTTGCATACTTACAGCAGCATTGCTCCTGAAGCAAATACCATGTAGGCCATACCAGGGTCAGTGTCCTTTAAAACTACCGAACCACTCCAGTGATGGAACCAACAGTTAAGCCGGGAAAGGTTCCGGAAGGGATACTGCCCACTGGAGATGCCTGGTATACTGATGGCACTAGTTGGCACACAAAGCAGGAATGGGCAGCAAAAGTAGTAACAGATACCATCAGGCTAGATAATGGGGAAGGGAAAAGCAGAGAGTGGGAAAAGACAGTCAGGAGCAGTATGAATGGTAGTGACTCATGAGAAATAACCATTACCTGCACAGATATTTTGGCAGTCTTCAGATAATCAAGAGGCTGATGTCCTCACAAAGGTGCAAGCTGTTTGTTCCCAGACACCTAGAGAAATCTCCCATTGGGCGCACATAAAGACTGGGCACAAGGGAGCCAAAACAGACTGAAGGATAGCAATCAATGGCTGCAGGCATTCCCATAAAGTATTTTGGCATTTTACATGCCAGATTATATCAGGCTCATACCTGTGCTTAAGGGATACTGCTCACCTGTGTGGATGCTGCCATGGGCTCTTGCAAATATTCCCACTGTCAAAAAACCCCCCAAAACAAAACACCCCAAAACATTCCCACTGTCAACGGGTCACTGGAGAAGCCACTATTAGAGAACTTACTCCACAAATGGGTTTCCAAGGAGAATTGACAGTGACAGGGGCATTTATTTTACCACCACTGATGTGCAAAGTTGAGCTGAGGACAGTCAAGTACAACAGTACTATCACTTGTCTTACAACCCTCCAGGGGCTGGCTTAATTGAAAGGAAAAATGGGTTGTTAAAGAAACAGTTAAATGATTTAAATGAAGTCACCCTGTGTGAGTGGGGGAAAAATACTTTCAGAAGCCATAGGTTGTTGAATGGAAATCTCAATGCCAGAGGGGAGCTACCTCCCTATGAGCAATTGGCCAGGGAAGTCCCCCACTACCGTGTCCCCCATACCATACAGGGTTTTAACTCTGCAGTTTGTTGCACACCAGAACTGGACAGTAAGTTTCTGTTGCTGAAGACTACACATTCTTTGGCTAATAGGACATGGAGGAACCAAGGTGGGATTGGCCAGTAGAAGCTTTCTCACTACGACCTGGTGTTCACAGTGCCAGAATGTGTGACACAGACTTGCCTGGGAAGAATTGAAACCAAAGGTCCTGCTTGGCTGTAGGCCTCGTGTGTTGCACTACCAGCATGCCAGGCAGGATGAGCCTACCAGTGCAGCAGTGGCGTGACTGGCCTGGGTGCAACCAACTACTTTCTGATTAGACTTACGCCTGCTCCAAAGAAGAGAAACCACATTTGGTACTACAAAGCCAGTAAAAAGACCTATGGCTGGAGAAGTCATGGGTCCCATTGGGGAAGCCAGTGCTGTTGCTTTGTTAAATGGATACAATGTGGAGCGAAACTGCCATCCTAAACTATTTGTGTCTGCACCTCTAGATTATTGCTATTGCCGGCCATAGCCAAAGGGAACTTGTTAACAGTGGACAGTGGACAGCAACGCACAGTGAGTTCAGTTGTTGAGTGTACTTTCCACATTACAGTGTGGGAAGCAGTGTGTGTACACTTATGACCCCCTTGTGTCTTGAAAAGAATAATGAAACTGGTACTTCCTTCCATGGAAATATGTAATAGCTGCCCCATGAGAGTTGTGTGTAAGTACCATACAGGTGTGGAATACATACAGAATGGAATAGAAAATACCACCTACCTCTTGGGGCATACTATTCCCCTTCATATACATGGTGACTGTGCAGGGGCTCACTTATGTTAACACTTGCTTTAAATTGGACTGGCAAGTGGCTAGGGTGGACTTTTCTGACTGGCCATGTTTATGACATTTTGCCCTCTAGTCCCAGAAATCTGCCAGGATTGAAGGCCTACTTTTCCTGGTGACCGGCATGGTGGGAAGATTCCCTCATCCTGTTCGTGCCTCAAGCAAGGGCACTGGGCACTAGACAATCTTTATTCAAGTACAAACCCTTGCCAACTTTCCTGCAAAGGCACTAAATTATACACCAGGAAATCTTCCTCCTCAACCAGGAAACAGCAGAGATGTGGAGAACAGCGCAAAGCAGAATGGCCTTGTACATGTTAACTGCTGCCCATAGAACCACCTGTGCCCTCACAGCCTGTCGTGCTGTGCTTACACCGGATAATGAGGTTAACAGTTCAGTGTGCTCTGCCCTGCCAGGTGCTCAGGTCCTGCGCCAGCCTGCAACATAACGAGGTCATCCATCCATCACTGGCTAGCCAGTGTTTACCGGGACTGGCTGGGCTCCCAGATAAGGGTGGGATGGGTACGGAAGACACACATCCTTTTCCCAAGGACCCTTTTTTCTTTTGATCTTGCTTTGCTGCTTTAATCAGTGCCTTACAAACGCCAGAAGCCTAACACAGGGGATTTGGCCACTTCCGAAGTGCTGCCGCCTGCAAGTCCACCGCTCTGGAGTAAGCCCTAATAAACTCATTTACTCCCAAAGGTAGTAGTCACTTTCTTGTTTCTCTAGGCTATTTACACAACAGTAGGATTGGAATGTGCCACTGTAATCAAAACTACAGTTCTCAGGATGCAAACTCAGGAAGTAACCAGTTGGGAGTTTTTGCCCCCTGGGGTCTCAGCGCACTCAGCAAAAGGGATGCACATCTGCACTAGGTCAAAAGTTCTCCGAGGTAGACGGGACTGAATGAAGCCTTCTACCTCACGTCCTCTCGACCTAATAGTTCAAGGTGTGTCAATCTTTGTCCTTTGATTTTTAACCTCTTCCATAACCTTAGTTCCAGATGCAATATTTATGCTCCTTTACTATGTAAGGGAATAAATGCACGGATTTCAGAGAAGGACATAAACATCGCTAAGGATAGAATGAGAGCATTATTCTGCCTTCCACATGTCTAGTCAGGGCGAGAACAAAGTGCCGCTCCAGTGAAATTTATCTATTACGGGGTGTCCATTAAAACTGGAGCCAGGGTTACGTTACTAGGGGACAATGTAGCTCAATATTATCAGAATTGTTCTAGAGCAACATGGGAAAACAGCTTTAAAATATGCTCTTTGTCGGCCGGCCTGCCCCATGAACAGGACCGCCCGCCCAGACTTCGGCGGCTTCGTTGGCCGGCAACCCGAGAGACAACCGGCCGGTCCGTTGCGTTCCGTTCCGCCCCGCCCCGCGGAAGCGCGCCAGTGGCCAGGCGACTGAGAGCC